AGACACCAGTAGCCTACGAGCTACTTGTTAACAAGCTTAAGGTGATGTATTGATATTAGCTAGCTAGTCATCTTTTAGCTAACTTTACCTGCATCCAGCAGCTTTACTCAACTAAGTCGGTTAGTTTGGGGGAAAAACTGTGAAAAGTTATTTGCGTTTTGCTGGTTTGCTGCCGTGATTCTAACACAAACCTACGTAGCTCCGCCCAGCAGCAGCAGGTCTCCTTCACAGGTGGAAACCCAGCGTCGTAGCGCTCATGTTGCGTTTAAAGGCGGCTCGGAAAAACAGGTTTCCACATGTTAACAACGGATTAAACAGTTTTAACTGCTGATAAAAGTGACAGAGGACACAGATATGGGAAGTGCGGAAGCTCCTACTGTATCAAATTGACAGAGCAATAACAAAGAGTTGGCCAATCTAAGGTAAAAACCTAGCGCATACAACGTTCATGTTTTTTTTTTGTTTGTTTTTTTTTCATCCAGACGGCTTCCCGCGCCCCCCCCCCGCAATGGCACGGCGCGCCCCACAGTTTGGGAACCTCTGCCTTAGAGAAACTAGTTGAACACTTTTGACTGATCTGCACAACCTTTGGGGCTTTTGTAAAAGTTTTCTGCATCTGAGCAGAAAAATTTCCACTGCATGTTGCTGCCACCACCTTATTTTACGGAGATGTTATGTGCAGGATCATGTACAACCATACAATGTGATTTGCTTTAAGACAAAAAAGTTCAACTTTGGTCTCATCTGACCAGAGCACCCATCATAACATGTTAGTCTCCCTGCATGGCAGTTATTTTGCCTGCTTCTCTGATTAACACTCTCCTTGCCTTGGCTGTTAATTTCTATGTCAGGCCAGGTCTTGGTAGGTTTCCACTTGCAGGAGATGAATAGAGTCCTGTAGGCAGAATATTATTTCAAAAACTAGATGTTATTTAGTTATCTGAGCAAGGGGAGCTGGGTGAACGACTAGGCCTTTTATTATTTTTATTTGCGAAGACAATTTAAAACTAACCATTACATTCAGCTTAACAATTATGCAATGGTTTGTACAAGACTCTCACAAGTTTCCCAATAAGACACACTGAAGTTTTTGGTTGTAAAGTGAAAATGTGGGGAAAAAAAGAAAACAGTTGTGAATGCCTTTCCAGGGCAGGTCTTGTATTGCTTAGTTTTTTTTATGGATTGTCCAAATGTCCAGAGTCAGCAGGAAAAAAAAAATTGCTGGCAAACCTTCCATGAAAATATTTCTAAGAATTTGTTTGTGTGTTAATAAAACACATGAACCAGCCAATTAACCTGTATTTCCCTCATGTGCAAAGTCTTTTGTTTATATCAAATCCTATGTCGCTATGTGGATGATAAAGCAAGTTGCAATTTCTAAACAGGTTCATGGAACTAGGAGGAAAAAAAATTATATTTTAAACAATATCCTCAATTTCTAAATATTTCCACGGTACAGTTTCTATTTTACTCAGAACAACCTTTCTAGATGCGCTTCTTGGAAATGAACTTGCGTAAAAGGAGTGTGTTTAGCCCATTCTCCCCCAGGCTAAGAAAAAATAGGGGAAAACATGCAAGACCTTTGCTAAAACTTTAATAGATGCACATATGAAAAATACGTGACTATACTATA